CCAGAAATCATTCTGGAAGCATTCTGGATCTTTCCTGTGATTGGCTTATTTGTTCGGTATTCGAGAAGAGTGGTGCAGCCCTAAGCTCACCCACCTCTCTCACTCCTCTTCAGTACCAGTAACATCTGACTCGGGAGTCAGCAACTAATACAAACATCTTCATATTTCTGTTCCAAGTCTCTCGCGGTTGGAGGCGCACAGAGTGTGAACCTCTGAGGTAGGCTACACAGCCTCCTGGCATCTGCAGCATCGTACTGCTGCTAGTGCACAGCGAAATATCGCTGACAGGTTATGAGCCTCGGCTAACGCACACACTACGANACACAGCCTCCTGGCATCTGCAGCATCGCTGTAGCGTTGATGATTTTTCTGTTTTTATTCCAATCTTTCGTAGGGGTTCGTATCCCCGTATTTATCCTTTTTTCTTCCTCTTTGTTGGGTCAAACGATGGTCTTGCGACTCATCGTGTGAGAGGTGTGGGAGGGTAACTTTTGGTATTTTGGAGCTCCGCATTCTCGATCCTTCCATTTTGGGATCAAACAGTTGATTGTCAAGTCCCGAGATTTCAAGTATCTGCGTATGAGAATCTCCAGGGTGGGCTAGTGTTATGGNATTGATTGTCAAGTCCCGAGATTTCAAGTATCTGCGTATAACAACATATTCGCCTGATTGAGAGCGTAGCATCTGATTGAGAGCGAGATTGCGCGATACGCTGTAGCCGGACTACCACTGAGAGGTGGAGCTTGCTGTGTAGCTTGAATTGAAGGGCTAGCCCGTAGCTTCAAGCCGCTACCCTGGTCATCCTGTGGGAGTCTCTCGTTGTGGAGCTACAGCGGGGAGCAGAAGCTACAGCAGAGCCCACCGCCCGACGCGATACCGCCCTGAAACAGTTTGAGCAGAAATAGCCAATCTGGGCAAATCTAGCAACTTGTCTAGCTCCTCGCTGCAGCATCCGATGACGATGACACGCATATGCTCGCGAAGCTGCTGATGAGACCTTCAATTTGCACCGCTTCTTGGAATAGCCCGTCCCCTACTTGCCAAGAAATGGCAAGAGGCGTCTGGACCCGAAATTTCAATTTTTTTGGCTCTCGCTCTCAATCAGATACTTCGCTCTCAATCAGGCGAATATGTTGTTGTATGAGAATCTTCAGGGTGGGCTATTGTTATGGGGTTTGAATTGTAGCAAGTATCAACGGTTATGCGGCGTAATTCCCTTCGGAAAGTGCGGGAGATGTAACTCCCGCTGGAAAGATTAACCCGGGGACAGGTCCTTTGTAGCCCCTATTTGAGGGAGCTCGACCTCCCCCACTACTGTGCTTAGTCTACGTTTGAGAGCAAGGCAACAACAAGCACTGCTGTTCCCAGAGATTAATAAACAAGTGAGTCTTCCGCAGGGTCTTCAGGGATTGCTACGCGTGATTCCCCCAACATAACCCAACGGTAGAGTGGAATACATTGAATGGAATGGAGGGGAAAGCTCACACATATTTTCTTTTCTCCTCCTTCACACCAATCCGCGCANACTTTTGGTATTTTGGAGCTCCGCATTCTCGATCCTTCCATTTTGGGATCAAACAGTTGATTGTCAAGTCCCGAGATTTCAAGTATCTGCGTATAAGAATCTCCAGGGTGGGCTAGTGTTATGGGGTTTGAATTGTAGCAAGTATCAACGGTTATGCGGCGTAATTCCCTTCGGAAAGTGCGGGAGATGTAACTCCCGCTGGAAAGATTAACCCGGGGACAGGTCCTTTGTAGCCCCTATTTGAGGGAGCTCGACCTCCCCCACTACTGTGCTTAGTCTACGTTTGAGAGCAAGGCAACAACAAGCACTGCTGTTCCCAGAGATTAATAAACAAGTGAGTCTTCCGCAGGGTCTTCAGGGATTGCTACGCGTGAATCCCCCAACATAACCCAACGGTAGAGTGGAATACAATGAATGGAATGGAGTGGAAAGCTCACACATATTTTCTTTTCTCCTCCTTCACACCAATCCGCGCATAACCGCTTTCACAACCCGGCACGTTATGCCCGCTCGGCCTGTAACCCCCCCACGTTATCCCATGTAATAACCCCTCGTTGGCCGGAGGTTACACAACGCCCCCGTACAACCGTGCCCACTGGCCACCTGTGTCTGAAGTGCTGCCTGTGCAATAATAACACCATGGTGCATAGTACACAAGCTCGGGGCATGCAGCTGCTGTCTGATGTGCTGTAAGAATGAGTCCGTGGACATACAATGAACNAGAATCTTCAGGGTGGGCTATTGTTATTGGGTTTGAATTGTAGCAAGTATCAACGGTTATGCGGCGTAATTCCCTTCGGAAAGTGCGGGAGATGTAACTCCCGCTGGAAAGATTAACCCGGGGACAGGTCCTTTGTAGCCCCTATTTGAGGGAGCTCGACCTCCCCCACTACTGTGCTTAGTCTACGTTTGAGAGCAAGGCAACAACAAGCACTGCTGTTCCCAGAGATTAATAAACAAGTGAGTCTTCCGCAGGGTCTTCAGGGATTGCTACGCGTGAATCCCCCAACATAACCCAACGGTAGAGTGGAATACATTGAATGGAATGGAGGGGAAAGCTCACACATATTTTCTTTTCTCCTCCTTCACACCAATCCGCGCATAACCGCTTTCACAACCCGGCACGTTATGCCCGCTCGGCCTGTAACCCCCCCACGGTATCCCATGTAATAACCCCTCGTTGGCCGGAGGTTACACAACGCCCCCGTACAACCGTGCCCACTGGCCACCTGTGTCTGAAGTGCTGCCTGTGCAATAATAACACCATGGTGCATAGTACACAAGCTCGGGGCATGCAGCTGCTGTCTGATGTGCTGTAAGAATGAGTCCGTGGACATACAATGAAGAAGAACATCCAACCAGAGCCATCATTGCAATTGACAATCTCCCGAATCTATCCGGATCACCTGTGTTAGGCCCAGCAGTGTAAACATCGACACTGACTAGGAATCGTTCCACATTGAAGGGGTCTTCCACCATGCAGGTACACAATTAAGGCACCCGGGTTATCCGCGCCATCTCTGCCGCGTCTCTCTAGAAATCCAGTGACGTCATCACACACACCCAACACCTATCTAGCTATTCAGGAAGAGACGGAAAATAATTGACAACACAAGAGATGCTTGTCTGTGCGCCACGGTTCGATGCCGTCCGCATGCTCCGGCTCCGCTGCTCCGGTTCCGCTGCTCCGGTGCCGCTGCTCCGGTGCCGTTGCTCCGGTGCCGCTGTGGCCAGTCCTAGCACGACCAAACTCGACCCGCTCCGCTTCGTACACGCTGTCGTTGCTGTCCTTCCCAGTCGGTTCCTCGCTTTCTCCCTCGTTGCACTTAGGGATCTTGGTCTGAGAATTCTCGCGCCAAAGGGTCAACCAGCCCAATTAGCTCGTCACCACCTGTACTCTACTCCTTTGATGGCATAACCCGGTTACTGAGACAGTACAGCTCCCTCTAGCAAACCTAGGGCCGTGTACATNATCTTGGTCTGAGAATTCTCGCGCCAAACGGTCAACCAGCCCAATTAGCTCGTCACCACCTGTACTCTACTCCTTTGATGGCATAACCCGGTTACTGAGACAGTACAGCTCCCTCTAGCAAACCTAGGGCCGTGTACATAGTGCCCGTCCACCTTTCTGATGACGTCTGCCTCCGCGCACAAAGATGAGATGGGCATTGCTGCCTACATCGACGGCCTGGAGGCCCGCGCATCTGCATTTGTACCTGACGCCCCAGTGCCGACCCAACTCCACCACTACGCACGCCTCGCGGCGGGTGCGCCGCAGCAAGAAGGAATCGGTCCCTTGAGGGTGAGTCTAGCCCTGCTCGCTAGAAGAGCCCCCCCCTCGCTATGGGTCATGCCTACGCAAAACCTTCCCGAGGCAGCGAGGGGAAGAAGGGGAAGTATGTGTGTGTGTGTTTTCGTCCTATTTATTACGGCAACAGGCCCTCCATTTTTCGTGGTGAGACGTGTACTACACTTTTCAGCGCATGTAGAGTACTACACTTTTCAGTGTATTTTTTCGTACAACTACAACCATCCAGGTCACAAAAGGTGGCGTTCTGCAGCAGCGGAGGTGGCGGTGCTGCCATAGCTCGTAGACTTTGTAGTCTATCACAGAGATTAAACTGCTGAGAGAGCGGTAGGCCCGAGCGAGCTTCGGAAGAGAAATGTAGATAAAATAGATGTTCTTATCAACTGACTCACTGGTCAGGCTTNATGTGTGTGTGTGTTTTCGTCCTATTTATTACGGCAACAGGCCCTCCATTTTTCGTGGTGAGACGTGTACTACACTTTTCAGCGCATGTAGAGTACTACACTTTTCAGTGTATTTTTTCGTACAACTACAACCATCCAGGTCACAAAAGGTGGCGTTCTGCAGCAGCGGAGGTGGCGGTGCTGCCATAGCTCGTAGACTTTGTAGTCTATCACAGAGATTAAACTGCTGAGAGAGCGGTAGGCCCGAGCGAGCTTCGGAAGAGAAATAAATGTAGATAAAATAGATGTTCTTATCAACTGACTCACTGGTCAGGCTTTGATGGGTGCTAGATGAGAGTGAGAGGGGTGGTGAGCTTAGGGCTGCACCACTCTCGTCGAATACCGGACAAATAAGCCAATCACATAAAAGATCTAGAATGCCTCCAGAATGATTCTGGAAGCCCTTCTACGTCCTAGAAATGTATCAAGTGCAACCTAGGTCTAGAACGCTTCCNAGATTAAACTGCTGAGAGAGCGGTAGGCCCGAGCGAGCTTCGGAAGAGAAATGTAGATAAAATAGATGTTCTTATCAACTGACTCACTGGTCAGGCTTTGATGGGTGCTAGATGAGGGTGAGAGTGGTGGTGAGCTTAGGGCTGCACCACTCTCGTCGAATACCGGACAAATAAGCCAATCACATAAAAGATCTAGAATGCCTCCAGAATGATTCTGGAAGCCCTTCTACGTCCTAGAAATGTATCAAGTGCAACCTAGGTCTAGAACGCTTCCAGAAGGTTTCCTGAAGCTACATACGCTCTACGTAGATTTCCCGGTCCACCTTGACCTAGTACAAGTTAATACATGCTACAGTCTCGCCTGCCAAATTATCTCCGCNGGAAGGTTTCCAGAAGCTACATACGCTCTACGTAGATTTCCCGGTCCACCTTGACCTAGCATGCTTCCGGAATGTTTCTAGTACAAGTTAATACATGCTACAGTCTCGCCTGCCAAATTATCTCCGCTACAACTCTGTGCTCATGTTCTCTGCTAAGTACCATCTCTTCTTTCTGTATTATGTCTACGGAAGGCTGGTTGCCGCAGTCAAACCTAAGGTAAACTGTGCCTGACTACGTTGTAACAGTTTTCCTCGACACGATCCATCGATTAGGCCAGTTGCCGATGTTCCAAAAAGAAAGAAAACAAAGAAAGAAAACAAGCTTCACTTCGCTGCCAATTTTTGCGACCCCTCAATTCCCAATCCATATCAAAGAATATCGACCTCCACATGATGAGTGAATCCATCCTGTGAGCAATACCCGCATTCGAAAAATTCAACCACACTGTGCAATCTTGTGCTA